TCTATTTACACACTCTCTAAACTAGCTTATATATTCGGGAATAATAACAGTTATTACTGATACTAACGCGTTCTCGATAACATATGGTTATTTGTGTCTGATTGAGCAGATTTTAATTAACGAAAGATATGATAAGCTATAGATGCGGTTTGTGGCAAAAGTTCTGGACGCAGTTAAGGTACCAAATTTGCCAGAACTAGAACAAAATCCCATTTATTCACACCGCTCGAGATTCTTCTCCCATACTAATACACTGGAATAACAGTCGATTATTAATGATTAACAAACACATTTCATCAAAAAGTTGAAGGCGCCATGGCGCATAAGGTAGCATAAAAAGCAGATGTTTATGCAATCATTTAACGTTAAGTGGTGTTGATCCCGAATAGGAAATTCATAGCTTCATTTTAATAATTAGAAAAGTTGCTTCATGTCTCGCACTTCGCTCTACGAGACATCAATACGCTATATGTAAATTATCGGTTGATGGCCATGTTTTGGCAATGTCCGTAATTTAAATGCCTTCAGACTTGTGACTGCAAATCAAGTTATTCCCTATGACATTCCACAGGGTATATTTATATACATATGTTAATATTTCAAAATCATGAGGAGACAACATCGCAATATACGAAATTCTGATGTCATCAGACACTTTCGGTATTGGGGACATAAAGGTGCAGTCTCTAAACCTGAGAAATAATCCTCGAACCGCGTCTCAATTACCTTAAAATAATGACCCGTATGTCTGTCCTATAATTGTCTCCATTAAACATGTTGTAATCATGTTTTCGTACTACTGCTTGCATTGTTCGACGGAGATTGCAAGTCTTTTCGCATAGCGTATGCATCTTCTCCATCTGCATAATATTTCTTCTCAATGTCATGTATTCTAGCAGATGCATTAATCATTATCATATTATCAGTAAAAGTCTATATACAATGAGCTACTGCTTGCAAGATCCAATAGGTTTGTGGGAGTGTATACCTGAACTTTAACGTATCTCTGTAAAGTTGCAACGCCGCTCGATTGCTCTTTCTGACATGCAACGAAACATACTGTGCGTTGAATGCTTCTACCATTGATTTCTCTAATCAAGTAAGCATACATGATGTGGAAGGAAACTTTTCGGGTAAATATACGAATGTTTGAATACAACAGAAATCCATGTTATTGCTCTTACGGGCTTGTGTCATAAGCTTCTCGGCAATCCCAAGTCTTCTGTACGTTCGCATAACGGATAGTGATGTTATATGCCCATGTGGCGCATCTTCTGGGTCTTCTTCCCTATCATTCATCAGTGGACCGTCAATATACTGCTCAATATTACGCCCAATACCTCTTACATTCCGTTACTTATTCTCACATTTTAGCCAATACGTAACCGACAATCTTCCCGTTGAGATCTTCGGCTACAAACGAGAGCTGAGGCCACGAAAGAGCATGGTAAAAGTCTGCATTAAAACATTCAAAATCAGAACAGGTCAAAACGACGCTGAATGATTGTTAAAACACTTACAATATTTCATTTGATAGTTCTCTGGCAAGTTCATAAGGTTGCAATTTTGCATTGCGAGAAGGTCATCAACCTATTCTTTAGCATTATAAATTGTAGGCTTTGACCTCATAGAAGAACAAAGTAAAATCAATATGATTGTTGAAATACTAACAACTGCTTGTCTGATATTCATCTTTATGGACCGTTATGTTGTTATTTACACTAAGAAAATGCAAAAAAGGCTTCTTTTTTTTTTCCAGCCGTCGTCGCACAATAATCATTTTTACTATTACGTCACAAATTTACACGTAATTTACTATCGGATTAGTTTACTTGTCATGTTCTTTATTAAAGCCGTCAGAATTGCTTCATAAAGATAGAACAAACTCAGTCGAGACTTCAACTAATATGTACGGATTTTCTTCCCCGGAATGCTTGAAGCAATTCATCAATATGCTTGGTGATTTGAATAGCAAATGTTACTATGTACCCGACTTTGTTTGAATGAAAAGGCTTGGGAAGATTGCACGAAAAGATGATAATACACCAAAGAATGCTTTTACGCTATTCAACAAATGAATGTATTGTGGATGTTATTATTATTGTAACTAGCCAAAGGTTAGGAATGGTGCAGACTAAGCATATTTCACACAGCTGATATGAACGGTCCAGTCCTCGGTATACCGTATTCCTTTGACCAAAATACTCCGGTATTTTAGCATTTTAGTATAGTAATAGTACCTAGATGCTTAATTTGCGAGCGTTTTGATGTATGAAGGTATTAATGAAAGGGGATATTTATCTCAGCATGATAATGCACCCGTTCATACAGTAAAAACTGTTGACGAATTGTTTGCAGAAAAGAAGATCAAAATGCTAGTTAATTGCCCAAATCAATCGTATAATATTACAAAAAATATTATTATTTCAAAACTGAAATTGCTATACACAAATCTAGACGTGAACATACCGCAATAATCTACAACAAACATTACACACATTAATCGAGTAATAGTAAAGCATGTACCTCATAAAAGAAATCAAATGTTTGGACTATGAATACAAGTGTCAAGTCATGATGTGTAATCATAAATCAGCTTAATAAAGAATAAAAGCATTAATATTACTTACTAACCTATTTGAGAGAACTTTTCGAGATATTGCATTTTTGAACTTTAAAGTTACTTCTTTCCTTTTCAAATCAAGATGAAGTCTGCCTATTTTGGCATACAAGTACTTTATTTGCCGTACAGCAGTTTTCCCACCTGCCAATAAATCGAACCGGTTTTTACTGGGGTTAGCCACGCCGTCATACTCAAAGACTTGGATGTTGGAATTTCGCCTCACTCTACAGATATTGCCGTAGCGCAGTCGTAATTATATGACCTCGTCTTAGTTATACACGACTGACGAGACAGCCAACAAACTCGGAGACACGTGTTAGGGATAGACCCTCGTCACAACAACAACTTGGTTAATTGCTGTGCTAATTGTTCCTCTACCGAGTGCGCCGGCGGATAATAATTTGGAAGTGCCCTTGTAAGATCTGATAGATCGAAGGGATCGATTTTAGTAATCTGTGGCGAGGAGAACGTCGACTGAGGTAATGGTGCAGTGATGATTACGCTTTGCAAGTGCATTACACATGTATTCGTGGAGCTTGCGATTTGTTTGGGGAAGGGTGACTGTGCGTCTATGTCCATTGGAATAACGTCAATATTTCGTTGAGCATAGACAGAATGCCCACCATCGTTCGGAAGGTAGCATAGATTATACAGTAAATTTTTGATCATATTTGGAGCTGTGATTGATGGGTAGATAACGTGTCGAAATAGG